CTCTGAACCAGCACTAAAGGGCTTTATAAAACCTTTTGTAGCAGAAGAAAGAAAAGATCATAAAGAAGGTTGATTTGATCCTCGTGTTAAAAAACTCTTTGAAAATGCGGGTTATGCTAAAAGTGAACCATGCCAGCATGGGAAGCTCAATCTAGTTCTTCCAAGGGAAAAAACTAATGAGTTAATGATAGCACAAAAGGTTGCTAAAGGAGAGACTTATGCACAACATAAATTCAGGATAGGATATTATCCCACTCCAATCCCGATTAATCTAAAGAAGGCTTCATCAAAATCCTATCATGATATGAATATCCAACATGGATTACTAATCATATCTGTCAGAAAGAAAAATGGACAAATTCGAGTTTGTCATTATTGATCACAGAACTCATGGTTGATGCGGCCACAGGAGATGAGGCATTATCTTTCATGGATGGTTCCTCTAGATAGAATCAAATTCGAATGGACCCTAAGGATGAAGAACTCATTGCATTTCGAACCCCTAAGGGAGTTTACTGTTATAAGGTGATGCCCTTCAAACTCAAGAATATTGGTGCCACCTATCGATGTGCAATGCAAAAGATTTTTGATGATGTCCTACACAAAAAAGTTAAATATTATGTTAATGACCTGGTTGTAAAGACAAGAAGATGTCAAGATCATCTTGATGATTTGGGCAACATTTTTGAATGACTTCAGAGATATCAACTAAAAATGAACCCCTTAAAGTGTGACTTTGGAGGTAGCAAGTTCCTCGAATTCATTATCAAGCATCGAGGCATCGAGATTGATCAATCAAAAATATAGGTCATCCTAAAGATGCCTGAGCCTCGCAATCTGCATGACTTCAAGGAAGACTTGCCTATATACGAAAATTTATCTCAACCCTCATTGGGCATTGTCATCCATTCAATAAACTAATGAAGAAAGGTGTTCCTTTTGAATGAGGGTGCTTGTTAGAATGCCTTTGAAAACATCTCATTCATCCTTCGGTTCTTGCAGCACCATTTCAAGGAAAATCATTGATCCATTATATTGCCGCCCAAGAATAGTTATTAGGAGTGCTCTTAGCACAAGTCAATGATGAGGGAAATAAAAATGCATTATACTATATGAGTCGGACATTAGTAGGTGCAAAACTAAACTACTCACCTATTGAAAACATATGTCTTGCATTAGTCTTCGCTACAAAGAAATTAAGACATTATATGTTGGCTCATGTCATTCATCTCATCTCAAAATCTGATCTTATCAAGTATATTATGTCAAGACCAGTTTTCTCAAGAAGTTTGGCCAAGTGGGCACTTCTATTGTCTAAATAAGACATAGTTTATGTTCCACAAAAGACAGTCAAAGGAAAAACATTGGCTGACTTAATTGCAAACCACCCGATCCCTATACATTGGAAACTACCATAAGAATTCCCAGATAAAGAAGTTTTCTTTTTTGACTTCATACCATCTTGGAAATTATATTTTGATGGTGCTGCTCGAAGATGTGGAGCTAGCACAAGCGTGGCGTTTCTCACCACTGAGGACGAAGTCTTGCCTTATGCAATTACCTTGACTGAGTTATGCTATAATAACATAGCAGAGTATCAAGCTTTCTTCATTCACTTAGAAATGGCACTTGATATGCAGCTCTCTCAGTTAGAAATCTATGGAGACTCGCAGTTGGTGGTTCATCAAGTTTTCGGATTGTACGATATTCGTAAATCAGATTGGATGCCATATTATCGCTATGCAACTCAACTTATGAGTCAATTTGATCTAGTCACAATTAAAAACGTACCATGCAGGATAAATAAATAATTTCAGTTCCAATTTTTCAAAGATAGGTAATACCTCTGTTGATTTCTAAAATAGAGGAAGTTACTACCATTTTATTTGTGCAAGTTGAAAATGAAGATTGGAGACAACCTCTGATTGATTATTTGCAGAATGGAAAATCATCAAATGATCCATGTCATAGAATCAAGATATGATGGAGAGATCCTTGATTTATTTATTATAAAGGCATCCTATATCATCATTCATCTGATATAGAATCGAGATACGACAAAGAGATCTTGCAATGTTTGGACGAAGTTGAAGCTTATTCTGGAATCTGTGGTGCTCATAAATCATTGCCAAAATTACATTTTTGCATAAAGAGAACAGGATATTACTGACCCACCATAATACAAGACTCGATGAGTTACGCTAAAAAATGCTAAGCTTGTTAGTTGCATGCCAACTTTATTCACCAGCCACCTGAACCATTGCATCCTGCAATCGCATTATGACCTTTTGATGTATGGGGACTTAATGTCGTAGGACCCTTTGACTCCAAAATCGTTAGCAGGATATTTTTATATCTTAACAGCAACCGATTATTTCTCCATGTAGGCGGAAACGGTCCCTCTCAAAGAAGTAAAGAAAGAGAATGTTGTTGACTTCATTCAAATAAATATTATATATCGGTATGATGTACCTCGTTACATTATCACCAAAAATGGAAAGCTATTTTTCAATAGCCTTATGGTTAAGTTTTGCATCAAATTTGGGTTTGTACAACATAATTCATCCATGTACAACGCACCAGCCAATGGACTCATAGAAGCCATCAAGAAGACCTTGTGCAATTTGTTAAAGAAAGTTATCTACAAATAAAAGGAGGATTGGGATGAAAGGGTTGGTAAAGCTCTTTGGGCATATTGAACAACATACTGAACTACAACACAAGCTACTTCATATTCCCTTGTGTATGGCGTTGAAGTTGTTCTTCCTCTGAAGCATCAAATTCCCTCCCTGTGGATCGCCTTGCAAGAAGAACTCACAAATGAAAAAAATGTTCATTTCTGTTTAGATGAGCTTGAAGCACTTGATGAGAAGAGACTGGATGCCCAACAAAACCTGGAATGTTATCAAGCCAGACTTTTCAAAGCTTTAATAAGAAGGTTTGTGTCTGATCGTTGAAAACAAGAGATTTGGTCCTTGCAATTTGAATTACCATTGTCATTTTGCATCGCATTGGTGGAAAATTCATGCCAAAATGGGATGGTCCATATGTAGTGAAAAAAGTCTACACCAACGGCACATACAAGATTGTTGACAAAGATGGCTTGAGGGTTGGCCAAATCAATGGAAAATTTCTAAAGTGCTTCTACGCCTAAAAACAAGCACGCTCCTTGACGCACGAGCCTAAACTGCATGTTACTTTTGAGCAGCATAAGTTAAAACTATGTACGACTTTTAAAAAAAAAAATTTACTTCTGGCCCACATGGGTTAAAACTATATACCGCTTAAAAAAAAAAATTTTACCCCTAACCCGCATGAATTGAAACTGTGTACGGCTTAACCCAAAAAAAAATAATTTTTACTCCTGGACCGCATAAGTTAAAATTGTGTATAGCTTAACCAAAAAAAAAAAAACTTTTTGCTTCTAACTTGCATGAGCTAAAACTGTGAATGACTCAACGAAAAAAAAAAGTTCCCTTAGAAATTATGTTTCAAACTTAAACCTTTTTCAAGATATCTAAGTGATTTGAGAGCTAACCTTTTTAGTTCAACAAATAATATCATAAAAAAATTTCAAATTTGAACATTTAGATTTGCTAAAAAAAGAAAAAATATATAAATAAAGAAATACAATTGAAGAGTTGTGAGATTATAAAAATTTCCTAACCTAGTCAATCGAGGCCAATGAAGCAAATTCCTTCTCTAACATGGATTGCATCTTGTCTCCATCTTGTATCTCCTCAACATTGCAAATATGAGACTCCTGGAGTTCAACATGCTCTTTCTCCATTAACCCAATTGTCTTTTTAGTGTCCTATCATTCATCACAAATGAAGTCAATACCAGATGCTACCTCGGCCCTCCGATCTTGCAATCTTTGGATCTCATCATCAAGACTCAATAACTTTGTATCAGATTCCAACGGATGTTCAGTTAAGCCAAGAACCTTGAATTGTCCTGCTGATATCGTGATATCAATTGTCGTCAACCTTCTATCTTTTTGTCTAGAGGTTAAAGTTTTGATGCTTTCTTGGCGTTTTGAAAGATACTCATCTACTTTCATAAGAAGACAATCCATTTGTCTTACCAAAGGATCTATATCAACATAGAAGAATTTTTTAAGAGTATCTTCAATACTTGAAGACTTGGAGGTCCACCAGACCTTCAATTGGAGAAGCCATTTTTCATGGCGTAATCAAATTCACCCTTCAAATATGGGGGCATCCCAGTCAGAATTATTTTCTTTGCCAATTTTTCAGAAGTAATTGCTTTAATAGGAGGACTTGACACAAATAAAGATATGTGATTAGTTGGATACTAATCTAAAGGGAAACTAGATCAAGCTAATGAAATATACCTGAGACAGATAAAAACATCAGTATTAGTCTTGGGGATCACGTTTCACCAAGTGCATAAGACTCACGAGGAGCATTCATAGTAGAATTATTAATATATTCTTCCCTTGCTTGTATAGCACGTGAATGGTCTATTTTAGAATTAACTTCCTCTTCACTTGGATTGGTATTTTCTCTATCAACCAAAGAAAGAATCCCACCACTACCGTAAAGGATATAGTCCGATCGTTGTAATGAAATAAAACTCCAATGATATCATTGTCAGGATTTTGGTCTCCACAAATACCTAGGATGGAATTTAATGTGGCAAGATCTGGAAGTGGAGGAAATTTTTTTTTTTAAAAAAGAAGGACAAGAGTAAGAGATTTGAAAAAATATATATATAAAAAACAAAAATAATATGATAATAGTAACAAAATTTTGCTTTACATGATGGGAAAACCTTGCTTAGTAGAACCAAAGTTGATAAGTCATTCATAGCATTACATGATGGGAAAACCTTGCTTGTGGGAGATTTTTTAGTGGTATGATTTGAACTATCTTCTGACTAAGCACAAGCCAAATTATGTTCAGCTTCTATAGCTCTTGCTTGACACCTCTCTTGAATTGTCTACTTAGTAGAACCAGGATTATCAACTGGTACAATTATGGTTGGAATCCTTCCACGATTTGAGCCTTATCTTGCTTCTTAAAAGCATCGTTGGACATGCATGATGAAAGGAGTGCATGATCAGATTCGTTTGATGAACTCAATTTAACAGACCCTTGGATGCTTAAAGGATTAGCAGATCGAACATCAACTGATCTTGAAACAAGTGTTAGCACCTTCAACATCTTTGGAGCTGTTTGTTCTTGGGGATTTAAAGAATCCTCTGAATTTTCCCGTTTTCGAAGACATAGAGGAGCTTTAGGCACTTTAGGAAGGGCTTTCCCCTTCTTTAACCCATCATCTTGGGCTTCGAATTTGAAATTCTCAGATTCACTAGCTAACAAGATTTTACAATTGATGTCGTTTAGGTGTGGCAGTACGTATCTTCCCACTAGTTGTTGTAACTAATGTCACATTGATTCTCAATTCGAGGACAGTTATTAAGGACATGGAATCCTACCCCACTGTTTATCCTGGTTAAACTCAACCATGCCTGATATAAAAAAGAGGCTTCAAATAAATTGTCGATGAAATCCATGCTGCCTTGCAAAGCGATGTGGGTTATACATCTCAAGAATGCAAACTGACCCACAACGATATATGATATGTCTAGCTTGCATACTTTTCATTAATTCAAAGGTTTCATCTAATTGTTGTCCATCATCATGATGAGCCCCGCAGTTTCTAGAATACAGAACTAGCTGCTAGTAAAAATCATTGGAACTCATACTTTCACGCAGAATGTCTAAAAATCCTTTTGCTTCTTCCTCATAAAAAGGATAAGCATTCAGTGTACCTCTGAATCGTCGAAGAAAAGGACGATCAAGCTCCTTATCAACCTCAGCATAAACTCCCTGAGGGAAATGCAATGCTGCCCAAGCATAAAAATAATAACCTAGAAAAACATGAGAAGTCATCCCGAGATTCTTTTGGTCATACCAGGTGTTGCATATCTCAGATAGACCTTTGTAAATACTTGCAACAATAGGGGGAACCAAGCTATATGTGACTCCAACAGCCATTCAGGAGGCAGACTTCAAGATGGTTGGACAAATAACGTCATCTGATGAAGGAAACACAAAGCGACATAGCCATAAAGCTAAATAAGTTACAATCTCTAAGTCTTCACGTGTTGTGACATCATGGTCAAGATCTAGAAGAATGAAGGGATCATCACCATTTATCTTTGTCTTCATAAGTTGTATCTCTGCCTGCATAGGCCTCACAAATCTTCACTTTGCAAAAAATTCTCCATCCCTTTTAAAACAATTTGTCATGGCTACTTTATATGCCTTGCTCTTCTTAGGATCCGAAGCACGTGCACCATCCTTGAATAAAAAATCAAGCCAATCTAAATGATGGGGGACGATTATACCCTTTCTTCTTATTAATTAAGATAAAAGCCTTAAACAAAAACAAGCAAGTCATAGAGAGAGCGTTAGTATCAAAGTCTATCAATTCAGTCAGGCTTGGGATAACTTCTTCAAAATATTATCCACAGATTGAAAGATTGGTAAAGTGTCGCATTTTCCAAAGTGAGATTCCAATTTCTCTTGCGCCCGTAACAAACGTATTCGTCTGCGGACATCAAACTTCACAAATGGCACGATATACACTGTTGGGTCGAGTACTCAAAAGAAGTTGTATGCAAAGCATAAGCAAGTTCGTCAAAAATCTTGTCTAACAACTAGCAGTAAATTCGTTGAGACCACTCCCAAAACTCATTCAGATATTGAATATCTCCCTTCAGGTTCAGTGAACGTCCCCAACTCAAAATCCTCTGATTGATCAGATCAGCAACAAATGGCTTTGATATAAGATGATTTTTGGAATGATACGAAGGCGCGCAAAGTGAGAGTTGCCAATCTGAATTAATCTTGCCACTTTTGTGCATGTTCTCTAGCAGAGTACATTCACTAGTCACCGGCATATGAAGTTCAGGTTCATAGATTATTCTCAAGAAGCTACAGGGACCAGTCATAGGCTCAAGAACTTTGAGCGATAATGTTGATTACTCATCGGTTCAGTAGTTCTTTACTACAACAGTTGGAAAACACAAAACTTTTCCTTTTAGAACTGGATCCTCCGACTCTACAATCCACTCATTGCGAGGTAAGTTCTTTCTTTGACTTGAAATTTTGATAATGTTTCCCGATTTAGCTTTTTGAGATAAGGCCATCTAAAAAATTATAATAATAAATAAATTTGAGAAAAAAAAAGCAAATAATACTAATAAAATAAACCTTAATGCTATCAAAATAAATAAATAAATAAATAAAATGGAATAAAATAATAATAATAATAATAATACAACAACAATACAAGAATAAGAAGTCACTTAGAAGTGTTACAGAAGTCACATTGGGTTGTTATAGAAGTCACCTTAAACTGTTATCAAAGTCACTTCAGGCTATTATAGAAGTCAGTTAAGGCTATTACAGAAGTCACTTAATACTGTCATAGAAGTTACCTTAAGCTTTTACAGAAGTCACATTGGGAAATCAATTAATGCTGTCACAGAAGTCACCCTAGGCTTTTACAGAAATTACATTGGGCAGTCACATAAGTCATATTGGGTTGTCATATAAGTCACCTAGGGTTGTCACGGAAGTCATATAAGGCTATCACAAAAGTCACTTAGAAGTCACTTTATGTTGTTATAAAAGTCACCTTAGACTATTACAGAAGTCATCTTAAGCTGTGACAGAAGTCACTTTAAGCTACTACAGAAGTCACCTTAGACAGTTATAGGAGTCACTTAAGGCTGTTACATGAGTCACTTAAGGTTGTCACAAAAGTCACGTAAAGATATCACATAAGTCACTTAAAGTTGTCACATAAGTCATTTAAGACTGTTACAAGAGTCATCTTAGACTGTTACAATAGTCACTTAAAGCTGTTACAGGAATCACTTAAAACTATTACAGAAGTCATATTGGACTGTTACAGAAGTCACTTTAGGCTATTATAGAAGTCACCTTGGGCTATTATAGAAATCACCTAAGACTGTCACAAAAGTCACTTAGAATTGTCACAGGAGTCACTCAAAAACTGTTACAAAAGTCACTTAAGGCTGTTATAGAAGTCACTTAAGGCTGTTAGAGAAGTCGCCTTAGGCTGTTATAAAAGTCGTTTAAGACTATTACAGAAGTCACTTTAGGCTGTTACAAAAGTCACTTTAAACTGTTACAGAAGTCACTTTAAACTTTTACAAAAGTCACTTTATGTTATCACATAAGTCACCTTAAGTTGTTACAGAAGTGACTTAAGGTTGTTATAAAAGTCACTTAAGGCTGTCACAAAGTCACTTTAGGCTGCCACATAAGTCACCTTAGGCTGTTAAAGAAGTGACCTTAGGCTATTACAAAAGTCACCTAGGGCTATCACAGAAGTTACCTAAGGTTGTCACAAAAGTCACTTAGAGTTGTTACAGAAGTCACATAGGGTTGTTACCAACGTCACCTTGGGCTGCCATAGAAGTCACCTTGGGCTACCATAGAAGTCACTTTAGACTGTTACAGAAGTCACATTGAACTGTTACAAAAGTCACCTTAGGCTGTTACAGAAGCCACTTAAGGTTGTTGTATAAGTCACCTTCGGCTATTATAGAAGGCACTTTAGACTATTGCAAAATTCACTTAAGGCTATCACAAAAATCACCTTAGGCTGCCATAGAAGTCACCTTAGGCTGTTGGAAAAGTCATATTGGGCTGTCACATAAATCACTTTGAGTTGTTATGGAAGTCACATTTGGCTGCCACAGAAGTCATCTAAAGTCATCACAAGAGTTACCTAAGTTGACACAAAAATCACCTAAGGTTGTTATAGAAATCACCAAAAAAATAAAATAATAATAATAATAAAACTCTTTTAACAAAAGCCACCTATAGTTGACACAAAAGTTATAAATTGTTGGAGCAGATGTCATCTAAAATAAAATTCTTGAGAAAAGTCAATTAAAATTAATACTCCTGAAACAAAGTCAACCCAAAGCGAAATAAAAAATTCTCATGGAACAAGATTTATTTGTTTCTTGGAAAAAGTCAAGGTCGGGTTTGTTAAAAAAAAGATCACTAGAAATCAAGTCAGTAAGATAAAATTCTTAGGTCAAAAGGTTACCTGACATAAATTTTTGGGATAAAGATATTCAGGATTAACATTTTTGAAAAAAAATTATCTCAATTAACATCCCAACAAATTTAAAAACATAAAATATTGGCAATAAATCTTGTCTTATTCAAACAAAATTAGGAAACAAGTTATGACCAAGAATAAGATAATTAAATACAAATTAAAAAGGATTTGAATTAATACAAATATATATAAATCAAACCTTTTCATTAAATTGAATTGAGTTTACCTATGTGCAAAATTTCCAAGATACAAAAAAAAAGTGATGATAAATTAAAATTCTATGGATAGTCGTCAAGTAACAATGTGATTTTGTTGTCATGAAGATCAAATTCACAAAGCAATAATTATAATCAAATAAATAAAAAGGGAGGGCATAAATGATCTAAAAAAAATCTGCCAAAAAAAAAATATCACGAGTTCATAAAAAAAATGTTGCACAATAAACAATAAAAAGATGAATACTTTGTAATAGGTTACACAAAGCAAATTTGGGATGGCCTGCTTGTTGTTGTCATCAAATTTACGGTGGAAACTTGTAACATGATCAATTGGGATAATCAAATAGGAAAGAGAAAATTCAATTTGTGACACCCCTAAAACCGGGGGTCATTTGTTATTGTTGACCAACCGTCAACCTGAGAAAATACCCGTGAGTGTCACACAAGCAAACATCACGTCATTAACATCCCCTTAGTCAGGATCACAACTTACGAGTGCAACCTGTGTACATTTTTTCATTTGATCCAACCGGACCTAATGTACCACAATTTATACTTATTTTATGTCTATTTATATCCTTGGAACCAAAGAACCCATAGCCCAAAAACTTGGCAAAGTAATTTTAAAATTTTAGATTTTTGGAAGGTGTACCGGTGGGCCCTACTGGTACGAGTTGCCCACTAGAAGAGTCATACCGGTATGAGTTACCCACTGGAAAGGCCATACCAATACAGGTAACCCATTGGAAAAGGCCATACTGATACGAGTAACCCACTGGACCTCGTCATACCGGTACGCCATGCCGGTATGCTTTGCTGACTTTTGCCTATTTCACCTGTTTTTCAACCTATCCCCTTTCCATCCAACACATGTGTAATGACAATTTTCATGTAACACAAGGTCCATGCCAATTCTATTACATGAATTTACATACCAAAGCTAAGTTTTTATAACAATTTACAAAAACTCAAAATAAGCCACATCTCAGCTTTCTTCATCCTTGAGGTCCCGTATGAGGGCCATCCATCGGTGTATATCCAGCACCTAAAATGTTTTCCCATATAGGGTGAGCTATGATCAATAGAGTATCTCCTATAGAGGCTACTCCTCACCCTAGATGCATATGAAATGTGCACAT